TATCAGAAGAAGACGACAGATTCATCTTGAGAATCAGTCGATTGGCTTTACTGGAACCTTCTTGTTGACGCTATTTCCGTGGCAATTTCCTTCGATTTCGGTGAAAACGTGCTAAATTTTCGTCGTCAGCAAGAATGTTCCAATAAAGCCAATCAAGAGGAACCCACCGTCGTCCTCTGGTTGGATCGACCTTTCACTCGAGATGGAAGTAAGCTCAACAATTATGAAACAAGGGATTTCAAGAAACCCAAATTTCTTCGCATATACTATATTTTTTCCATAACTTTCCTTCATAACCTGTTTTTTCTTAATTCATACTGAGGCAATTTTGTAAGATAAACATGCACGCCCCAGCAGAATGTTTCCAAGCTCAAGACTATATTTATCTAAGTGGAAAATGGTAAAAAGCATACATTATTAGTGAGGGATAGCCGGCTATGCTATGAGCCGAGACAAATCTTGATGAATTGATGATGAATGAAAAAGGTAAGAGCCTCAGACAGATTCTCCTTTAATTCCATTTGGTTGAACGATGGATATAATGGCATACAAGAAACTAACTAGTAAAGGTGGCCAAATAAGTCAAATTTATCTTTTCTGAAGACTTTTCGAAACTTTCACACATTTTTTAACAAGAACATTTTTTAGAATAGTTCGCTTAAGCTGATTTAAGTCTTAATATCTGTCCTTAAGTCACCTTAATCGAACTAGGGGGACTAAGTTCTTAGTTAAAACCGATTTAGTTAGGCATACAATATCAGTTAAGGTCTTGCACACACTTAGACGAAGGAGGCTTGTGAAAAGCAATTCGCATAAAGTCGCAACAAAGTCAAGTTGAATTTTATACAAAAATCAAAGTTTTCCTTCATGGGGCAGTGGGCAGAAGTAATGCTATCCAACGCTTTTCTTACGCTACTTAGCTACAAATAGGCATAAAACCTACCCCTCTGAATCAATGTGTACTATAGACTCACCAGAACTAGGATCAGCAGTAAAAGGGTCTTCATCGGAGGTTTCCGGAATAGCTGGTTCTGATCACAATGTCACACTGTAATTGACTGGATGAGGATAAACAGGGTACCATTTAGCAGAAGTGGGTAGCTCCGAGTCAGTTTGCCCATGATGCTCGAGCCAATCATCTTCCTAGCGAAATACTTCGCCAATGACATTCTGGCTTATCTTCGGCACAAAAAGTGACAGAGGATCGATGTTGTGGCAGCCTCACGTTCTGGTGTATCCCAGCATCGATAGCGTCAAGGGAAGAGTGGCTGCCAGCTTCGAGTGGTACTGATGTCTGCACATCTGCCCATCGCTTCCTTTTGTCTGGCGTCCGCACAACAGACCGTCTTGCCGATCTGTCCATGGAGGCTGGCAACTGGAACATCTGCATTCTTTGGTGGACCTGGTGCTGCATGCTGATGTCCTATTCGTCAAAGCAGGGTGGGGAATCAGACAACTAGTTCATGTATCCTCCTCGTCGTAAGTCCAGGAATGCGTATCAGGTCGATTTGATACAATGTCCTTCCCACATAGTTTTTGCATTATCGCCCTATTGAGTTTCGTGTGGAGTCGAGTAAACTGCAATAAGGAGTGTCAAAATTACGCTACGAAGACACAAAGACGCATCAACTTTTTGTCCAAGACTCTGACCAAGACTCTGACCAAGACTCGAACGCCAACCTCACCTTCTGAGGCTATGATCTGCCCTTTAAGATGGGTGGACTTTGGCATCATAGGCGTCTGTGCATTTGATGTATTTACACTTTCTCTTCAATTCACAGTCTGTACTTTGAGCACTCTTTGTGTTAGCATGCACAAATGTCTCTAAACAGGGGCCTTTGAGAAGGATTTATGTACCACTTTGCCATAACATAAGGATAATAATCTGGTAGCTGCGACTTGGTACGATAGCTCCCTATTTTTATCCACTCTGGATTTGGTATGGTGTAAAATAATTGCTAAATCGGTTCATAAAACTGAATGAATTATGAGCCAACATATTCTGACAAAGAAAGCAATGTTTATATCCTAGCGATGTATCCAATAGGCAAATTTAAGGTTCTTTTCTCATGAAAATTTGAATTTGAAGAATTTGACTTCACTTAGACCACTTAAAGAGATGGAACTTATGAAGTTTGAATGCCATTCATTGGAAGGGGTTACAAATATCATGATACCAGTGAAGTTGTCCTGACCTTATCACCCTAAAGGTTTTCTCCTCCAGATTAAAGTGCAGTTTCTACCTCAATTTGATCACACCAGTCCCTAAAGGGGATCTGAACTTGGTTCGAGTGAGACTAACTACAAAGTTACAAATTCCTCATATAATCGTGGGTGCCATTGACTTACA